ATTCTATCACCCTACCACGAACCCGCCGTGGCAACCAGCACGTGCTTGTGGTGGTGGAAGTGACTACTGGATGGTTGGAAACAGACCCCATGCCACTGCCTGGAATACTTTCTTGTGATTTGAAAAGCAAGTTTTATGGAGACATAGCACCTCGGAACAAACTGAATCAGACAATGGGACTCATTTCCAAAACAGCTTCACAAACACCTGGGCCAAGGAGCATGGCATCGACTGGGTGTATCACATCCCCTATCATGCAGCGGCCTCCAGGAAAATCAGACAACACAATGGACTGTTAAAAACTACACTGAGAGCAACGGGTGCTGGGCCAGCCAAGCACTGGGATACACATTTAGCAGAAACCACTTGGTTAGTTAACACTTGGCGATCTGCCAGCTGACCTGGCCCTACCCAGTCAAAACCCCTGTGCATTGTGGAAGGAAATAAAATCCCTGTAGTACACATAAGGAACTTGTTGGGAAAAACAGTCTGGGTTATTCCTTTCCCAGGAAAGGGTAAACATATTAATGGGACTGTTTTTGCTCAAAGACCTGGGTGCACTTGGTGGGTAATGCAGAAGGATGAGGGAGTCCAATCTGTGTGCCAAGGTGATTTAATTCTTGGTGAAAATAATCCATTATTTGAACTGCATGTTCTGGGAACCACCATAGCAGGAACACCTTGCTACAACCCAGGCTAGGGGAGGAGCTCACTGCAGTGTTAAACACTATAGCCTGGCCCAAAGGTAAAGACTGTAATGGGTATACCTTTAAATTGTTGTAGCCCAGGATTTGAGTTGCATGTTATAGGAATTACTATAGCAGGAACACCTGAGCTAGTGGCAAACAACCCTTAAAAGAAGCAGAGCTAGTGCAGCAGTGACCTGAGCTGAGCTGAGCTGGCCTTGGTGCCCTGGAACTCCATGCAACACATCACCTCTCCTGTCCTGAGTGACCACCAGGACAGACGGAGCCCAAAGTCATGGACTAAATGAACTCATTGGACACTTTGTGGACATTTATGAACATTTTACAGACATTTCAGAGGGTGGTCCATAGACTGAGGGAATGATATCTGTGTATTGTATCAAAGGATGGGAAGGGTGGTGGGGGTTAATGAGGGTGTAGTGGATAGTGTGGGACCTAAGCGTGATGTAAATAGTATGGAATAAGGGGTGGAGAATGTGCTGGGTTGGGCTGGGGCAGAGTTAATTTTCTTTCTAGTAGCTGGTACGGGGCTACGTTTGGGATTTGTGCTGGAAACAGTGGTGCTAACACCGGGATGCTCCAGTCAGTGCTGAGCAGGGCTCACACAGAGCCGAGGCCTTTTCTGCCTCTCAGCCCACCCCAGCAGCGAGCGGCTGGGGGGGCACAAGGAGCTGGGAGGGGACCCGGCGGGGACAGCTGACCCCAACCGACCCCGGGGCCATCCCAGCCCACACGGTGCCATGCTCAGCACATAGAGCTGGGGGGAGGCTGGCGGGGGGGCCACTGCTCGGGGGCTGGCTGGGCATCTGTCTGTTGGTGGTGAGCAAGTGTCTTCATTTGCACCACTTGTCTTTCTTGGGTTTTATTTCTCACTGTTTTTTTCCTTTTCATTGCAATTACTATCATCATCATTATTATTATTATTATTAATAATATTAAATTACTAAACTGTTCTTAATCTCAACCCACAAGTTTTCTCACTTTTACACTTCCAATTTTCTCTTCTCCATCCCACTGAGGGGAGCAAGCCCGCGGTTGCTTAGTGCTTAGTTGCCACCTGGGTTAAACTACAGCACCCCCCCCCCCCAGCACCTCAACCTTAATAATACTTTCATTTCTTTGCTTATTTTTAAAAACAGCTTTTAAGATGACATTCTGAGGGCTAAAGTTTCTAATTATAAAGTTAGCAAGAAATGGTTAGTGAGTGTTACTCTGCACAAAAAAACCCACTAAAGGAATGCAAAGTGGGAGAGAGAGGGGACAAACAAACCCAAGAGAACCAGTGGTAAAACTGAAAAGTCAGGATTGTGCACACAGGCATTCCTGTAGCAAATTCTGTAAAGGCAGACTAACATTTGATGAATGATTTGCATGTACATTTTGGTGAAAACTCAATGCAAATTTCTGAAATCTGAGAAATATATATGTCCCAACATCCCTCCTAAATGCCCGGCATAGGCTGAAAAGAAATAAAACGGTGCCAAGCAGCGTGCAAACATTTGCCTGCAGATGACTTATGATTTTCAACAATAATTTCATAAATACAGCAGACTTGAGTGTATCGCATGATTATTCTTCTGCTGCAATCCCTGGGAGTTCCCACTGACACCAGTGTGGGGCTGCCCGGGGCCACCAAGGGAGATGGGCTCCAACTGGGGCAGCCTTCAATGGGCAGCAGCGAGGGGTGGGATTGTCAACAGCTCTTGAGTCAGCAAGATAAATGGCATTGAAAATAAGCTGCAAATGAAACAACCCACCCGAAACAACCTGAAGGTTTCTGCCAGGGCTGAGTCGGGCCAGCGGTGCAGGCGCTGCCCTCCGCAACGCGCCGGCAGCCAGCGGCGCCGGTGCCGAGCAGGTAGCACCGAGGGCCGGCCGGCCGCGGCACACACCGCTGGGAACAGTCACTGGAAACAACCTCCAAAGCTCGAAACGGGGTTTGCATGAGAGCAAGATGTTGAAATATTGATTAAAGTTGGATTTCATCAGCAATACTTTGATTTTATTATTATAATGGCTGCTAACAAAGACACACCCATTAATGCGTTACATTCCTGCTCGTAAAAGGGTGATTATTCCACTGTTCACGCCAGGCTGCTCTGCTTGTATCCATAGCCAGTGGCTCCAGTACAGGCACTCATCAGGAAAAAAAAAAAAGACATTATGATTTCAAAAATTAGGCAAAAACACGGAAACAGGCACATGCTGGAATAGTGCAGAGACTGGGTCCAAGCAGGCGTCTGCATCCCAGGGAAGGAAGGGGTGGGCAAGGGGAAAGACTGAGCACTTCACTCTGTTTAAATCCCAAGTAACATGCTGAAACTAAAGAGTTACTAAAGATTTTATCAATTTAAATGAAATGTTGGAGGGGGGAAAAAAAAAGCACTTTGAAAAAAATTACCTAGCAGGTGCCAGTTTTCCCACTGCTTGGCTTTATTCAAGGAATAATTGTATGTTCGCAGAGAGTTTTTCTGATCTTAATAAGCTAGTTAATTTTCAGAGCCAGGGATAAGGGTGGAAAAAGGATGGGAAGAATGCCATTAAAGCCCGTGTCTTCCAGCATTATTGTTCTAAAACTCGTGCTTGGGCAGAATAAAACAGCTATCTGAGGCAATATAGTGTTTACATATGCCCAAATTGTTATGCAAACACAGGAAGACCTATTGGAGCAGAGGGAACAGGCACCGAGAGGCAGTGCTTCTCACCACCCCTTGCAGAAAAATGTTTTTCAGTGTGGAAAGGGTGAGAGAGGTCACCCCCAAGGAATCCAGCACAGGATCCTCCCAGCCTTCAGCTCTCCCATCCTCCTCCTCCTCCTCTCAAATTCCCCAGCGCAGCAAGCATGGGCTTCAGAGTTAAAGAGACAGGCTCATTATCCAGCAACTTTGTCTGGGGGCTACAATCACTTAAGGAATCTAAAAAGCGGGGAGAAGCTGTCCTGTATGAAAAGGGATTCACCGCCTGCCCTGCACAGGCATTTCGTGTCGTGCTTCCCTGTCTCATGTGGAAAATGAAACCACAGAAATTAAGGGGAGACTCCAAAGGCACATGGGTATTCAGCATCATTCAAGTACAATTATTTTTAGATTAAACCCATCTTGTGTCAACATTAAAGATCTAAACTAAAAAAAAAAAATAAATCAGTCATGAACTCTAGAGTGACACCTTCAATTCTATGAGTCACACTTTCAATTCTCTCTGTGGTTGGTACAAGAGAAATAGACAAATGCCTCTGACAAATAGAAGCCACAGATTTTCATCAACCTATATCAATCAAGTTTTCAAAAAATTATCAGTGATGGAGAATTAAATAAATCCCCAAAATATATCCTCAATGCTTGAAAAACGTCTTACTGCCAGTCTGGGCTCAGTCACTTCTGCTGCTAGACCATTACTCTACAGAATAAAAGCTCCCCACCAGCCAGTCAGCTCTCAATTTCCCTTTACTAAACTACATAAGCCAAATTTCATTAACTTCTGGCTACATGTCAAATTTCTGCAGCGCATAAATTATTCTTGTTAGCATTCTGAGTCCTCTAGTGTGCTGAAAACAAATCATGGACACCAAAAGTAGAGATGCTATTTCCAGAAGAGTCTCACTACCACCACTTCCCCACGGACACCCTCCCCCAGTCACTCCTCAGTGTCACTCATCCCCCCAGGATAAAGACATTTGCTGCCATCACCCACAGCATCCTCCCAAAGTCACTGATATCAAAAACCCCAGCTCTTCATCCGAGAGATGAAACCTGCATTCACTGTCTTGAGAAGTATAACCTCGCTTTGGTTATATGAAAAAAGAATCCAGCTCAGCTTTACTGTGGTTTTTACAGCTTGCATGTAGCTTGAAGAGCCACCAGCAAGGATTTCATGTCTGGCAGGCTGTGAATGACACTTGGTTGAGAACACATTCCTGCAGGACACCACCAGAAATGTCCCGTGGCATCACTCCCCGCTGTGACTGGTTTGTGAGAGCTGGTAGCTAGCAAGTTTTTTAACCTAATTAACACATACCACGCTCATTTCATACAGCTCTACAATTTCCAATCAGAAAATTGTGCAATGTTGGAGTCAAACGTCTTTAGGAAGTTAACTGTATCCACACACAGCGTGCACAGCGACTCAAACCTGCAGGAGCAGCTAAGGTCACGTTTCAGTTTGGAGAGGCGGGCTTTTTTAACTTTTAAAAGCAGATTTCCCCGGGGGGAGCACACTGCACACAGCCTCTGAGTGCTAGACTAGTCTCTCATCATCTAATAACAGGGCAGGATTTGTGCTCAAGCCATTTCCTACCACAGGATGTTGATTTCTTATCCACCATCTTCACATGCCGTGTCTGGTTGCGAAGCTTGTCGTCTGTGTTTTCAACCAGGTTAGTGAGGTCGTCGATGATCTCTGGGGAAAGAGAAACACGAGCATTAATCTCCGAGCCCTGCAGCATCACTGCTCAACAAGCACGCTCCTGCTGGAGGCTCCAAAATGGAAACCAGCTGCACTCTTATTTTCCAGTATGACAGATCAGTGATCCACATGCACTGAAAGGTCCAAATCCTGGGAAATTCTACACAAAAGCCTTTGACGTCAGATTCAGTCCACTCCTCTGCTGCAAGAGTGGAGGAAAAAAATACATCCTGAAACAGCAGGATCAGTCTAGGTAGCCATGAAGCATAAGATGATGGCAGCAATAAAGCACTAGCCAAAGTAAGAGCATTAGTGAATATGGTCTATGAACTCTGAAATTTCAGTCCTGGAACTGAGCATCTCGACACTTGGCCATTACAGAGTCATTAAAACACATCCAGAATTTCGAGAGCATTTGGTGCGGTCTCAACCAAGAGACCACAGAGGATACAAAGTCCCGCCTTGGTTCAGTTACTGAGATACACAGATGGGAGCCCTGCTTGCAGCCCAAACGATCCTCTGGGAAAAGGAAAGCGAGCAAAATTTCTCCTACATCTATTTTCAATAGAGGGGAAAGGAAAATTTCAAGCCAACCCATCCTCAACCTCATAGAACTGATGACTTTATTTTTGTCAGGGAAATTGGACCAGGTGCAGGGCTTACACCAAGACTGGTTGGTGGGTTGGGGTTTTTTAACACTGAAAATTAAAAGCCACGTTCAGGCACCGAATTTCTTCCTTGCTGACTGTTACGCTCTAATTTTCTTGAAATACACAACCCGTGCTTCTTGCCGAGTGCATGAATACACCACGTTTGAGCTGCTTTCTACTCTGCAGGTAGGAATGGCTTTTCTTGTGCAAGATAAATCAGGAGGAGGACAGCAGCCAAAACCTGAATGCTATTGCAAAGCATCTTGCTCTGGTTACACTTCTAGCACATTCCCCACTATTGATCACTGTCTTAATAAGTCCAGTGTGCCTTTTGAGAGCAGGTCGGGGACAGCAGCCGTGCCAGCTGGCGGGTGCTGTGCTCTCCACTCGCTTGTACCCCAGCAGATCCCAGCACTGCATCTCTGCTGAAATGTCCACGTTTAACAGGCTGCAAGCAAAAGCAAAAGTTAAGAGTGCACAGCATTCAGTTAGCAAGAGATATAAATATTCTGTTCATTTTTATGCACGCTGGTTGAAGGTTAAAGAAAACAAGTCCCATCAACAGGACAGAGCCCTTATTATTTAGCTTTTATTGTTTTGACTGTATTCCTTCGAATGAGATTTCCCAAATATCTCTGCTAAGAAAAAGGGGATGACGCTAACAAGGGCGTTCCTTGCACTTCCAAAACTTCCCTGTGACACTATAAGAAAACCTTGTGCTTGCAAGAGTTGTGCCAATATGTGACATCTGTTCTTGCAGCTTCTCCAGAGCACCTGAACACCTCTCCTGGCCATTGCATTTACACCAGCACCTGGAAGGGACTAGCCTCCTCCCCAATTCACCTTCCAACAGCAAAAGATGTTAGTTATGCAGAGTGTTTATGTCCTGAAATCTTACCCGGTAAGATTTTTCTAGATTGTATCTAGACACAGAGGTAAAATCAATTTGACCATACATATGGATAACAAAAAACAAATAAAAAATAATCAAAGTTCTGAGGACGCAAAGGAAATTTTCAAAGGTATATGCAGCACAGAGGTTTTACTCTCCCAAAAAGTTTTGAGCATCATCACCCTTCTAACGCATGCTTTTAAAGTCTGCCCCACAGCACTCTATCATCTCCAGGGAATCCCTATGTAAAATGATACCAGCATCTAAAAAGTCTTTTACTGTGAAAATATATCTTTCTCAGAACGTGAGCTCCCGATTCATGTCCCGCATCCTAAACCATCTAAGTACTCACATGAGGGAAGGGCAGAGGGCAAACATCAAGTGCTCCTCTGTATGTGCAGCCTCTGTTTTATCCTATAGATCTAAACCATTCACCACTCCTGTGGTTAAGCTGCATCACCCCACCAATACCGCCCTAATTCCAGGCACAAAGTCACATACTTGTGAAGTTCTTTATAATAGTCAAGATTTTATTGTTCATCTTATACCAAAACACATTGTCCCAAGTGATGGCAGGTACTTTATTTGAGTGGCAAGATTTGTTCAGTTTGTGGTTCAGATATTAATTCTCCTCCCACCCAACTTTCCCAGGTCTAACATCTGCAAAGCCAACAACATTTTGGGGAAACTTTATCTGTCTTGCGTGATTCAGCACACAGGAAAACCAGTACAATGCTGCCTACAAAGGCAGGCTTTCTCATGTTTGCCTCTAAATGAAAAAAAAAAGTGCCGAAAGTTCCCATCGTTGTCAAGGACAAAGTGATAAGCACGCTTGGGAAATAAAAGACTTTCCTTTGCCAACACTGACCAGACCCTCCTTGAAAAACATCCTGGTGAACAAGCTGTAGCTAAATGAGAACAAATGCAAGCAGGAAAATTTTCTGTCATCATTTCAAAGCCCAAGGCATTACAGTTGGGATTATGTCTAGAGCCTCTCCCATGCCCCTGCACAAGCCATTCCCCTGTGAGACCAACCAGCAGGAGCCATGTCTGAACCAGAGAACTGGACTCTACAGCTTGGGAGAAGCGTTTCTCCATACCTACATGCCTGTTGATACAGCCAGGTTTCAGGGGAGCAGGCCACTTCACCAAGCACACAGATCAAAGCTCAACAAGCAACCAGTCCTTTGATGTAATGTGCAGTTGAGACCAGAAGTGTTGGGGCACTCATGGCACGCCCAGGAGGTCTGAGCAAGGTCTTCCCCTCCGGAGGCTGATGTGGGGAGAAAACACAGGGAGGTCCTTACCCCATCACCAGTTGACTCAGAAGTTCAGCCCAGCAGGTTCCCCAGGCCAGAGTGCCCTTGGTACCACCACCCCCCTGCAACAGAAACATCCATCCACCCCTCTACACCCACCACCACCAAACACCCTGCACAGGAACATCCATGCCCCTAACCCCATCAACACGCCGTTGAGGTGTCACTCAGGTTCAGAGCAGCTCTCCACCTTCATGTAAATGAAAGCAGTTCTCCCCACTCTAAAGCAAAGGAAACACAATGGAAATGCGTGCTCTATAAGGCAGAGTTGAAAACTAGCAATGAATTTCTAAGGCAGGTAGAGCTGCTACCAGAGAAAACTAACTCCACAGGTAAGAAAGTCTTTAGAGCAGTAACACTCCTATGTTAGCTCTCAGCAGGCTCCCGAGGACCCACCTCTTCTGACAGATGACCCATGTGCCACCCCCTCTGCCCTTCAAGATGGCAATTACATTACAGATGAAAAATTTTCTATCGCCTCCCATTTACCTGACTCTGCAAGGAACAAGTTTAAAAAAATAACAAGAAACCTGAAAAAGGGGAAGGAGCGAGGTTCCCCCGTCGTGAGGGAGCAGACGGGAAAAGCAGGCTGACTGCTGAAGGGCTGCCAGTGACCTTACAAAGGACGTTTCTGTAACACTGCACTGCAAACCACATTTAAACCAGTAACACAAATGTAGCCAAGGTCTTCTTTCAGTGAAGCAGGATCTTGAAGCAGAAGATAAAACCTACTGCACAGCCCAAGCATTAAAATGTGAGTAATTTAAGCCCCGCTGAAGTGGGAGAAGTTAGAAGGTTGCTCATCTGTTGGAGATGAGCTCAGACTTGAAAACTGGTGCTGCAGCCTTGCTCGTCCCTGCACACATGTCCCTTTGCTGGGGTCACAGCCACCAGCCAGGCAGGTACCTTGGCTTTTGAGCTCACCAGCAGCCAAACACACCAACCACAGAAGCAGCAGGGTTCTCTAAGAAGGCAGAGGTAGATGTGTGGGCATTACCAGTTCTCACTTCGTCCCTGTGAGGCTGCAGCAGTGAAACACAAACCTGTCTCTACAAATCTGGATGCTTTTCCTGGTGATCAAAGCTATAAAACTTGGGCTGGAGCCCTCAAAAGGGCAGGATTTCTTCAGAAGCCTGGTATATATCAGACAGCAAAAACAATGGTGGGCTTTACAGATTTGAGATTAACATGTGCATACCTTAAACCCGGACAAAAGCCATGGAAGGTCTGAACTTTGTGGACACAAGCCCATCTGCAGTCCTGCCACAGCTCCTCTGGCTATGGAATAATCAGCAATGGAGAGGACACAGGCAGCCCCTCAGGGGACTGGGATGAATTCCACACAGGGGATTTACAGGCAAAGAAAACACGCAATGAGGAAGCAGCAAAGCAAGCAGATGACAGGAAAAAATGTAGGTTGATACATTCTGAAACGTGATTTTTTTTTTATTTTGGTTAAAAAACCCACAGCAGCGGGTTTTGATCTTAGGCAACATGTGTTTTGGAGTAATGCAGAGCAGCTAGGCCGAGCATGAGCCCAGGTCAGAAAAGGTGGAAGAAGCATCCCTGTGAAAGAGGCAGGAGAAGCTGGAAACAGCAGGCATATAGTCAGCCCTCTCCAGTTCCAACATTAATTCTACCTCCTGGGGAGGAGAGATGTGTTTACTGCAGAAAGCGTGAGCAAAGTGAAGAAAAGTTCCTTCTGTTTATTTTTTAAAAAAACAAACACCAAATAAATTTTGGTTTTGTTTAGTATTTTGCATTAAACTTAAAACACATTTTTGTCCATAAAAACAAACAGAAAAATCATTTAATCAGATCTGAACTTGTTGCATCAGCTATCATTGCCAGAAAATTAAAGCTTCTAAGCTGCAGCTGAACATGAAGCATTTAAAAAAATTGCTCACTGAATTGCTTCACTGGTCACAGCAAGTTGAAGTCCTATCAATGCCTACAGAGTCAACTTTTAAAGAATCAAGAATCCATGTGTTTATCCAGATCAACACATGACTACTCAGAGATGTGAACACGTAAGTGTTAAATATTCCTTTTCTAAGTTTTACTGACATGGAAAATGAAAAGTGAAACAACTGGTCTGATCCCTGGATTGTAAGCACTTTCCACTTTGCTCTA